AGAGAGAGAAAGTGTGAGTGTGTGTGAGAGAGAGCGAGTGTGTGTGTGTGAGAGAGAGCGAGTGTGTGTGTGTGAGGGAGAGAGAGTGTGAGTGTGTGTGAGAGAGAGCGAGTGTGTGTGTGTGTGAGAGAGCGTGTGAGTGTTTGTGTGTGCATGCATGTATGTGTGTGTGTGTGTGTCTTGCTTTTTTGTGAGAATGACTTTAAATGTTTGAAATATTTATTTTTACAGCACTGAATAAAAACTAAATGAATGACATATTTGTGATGGTTTTTTTCGACTGAGATGCCAAGAGTTTATTTGAACTAAACCTTTTTTTTATAATTTATATTTTCATTCATAATCCTCATGTAAGCTAAAGACACAATGATCTGTACAGTATCTACACGCGTGTGTCTCCAGACAGAACAGCATTCAGCTCTAAATCACTAAACCAGAGATGTTCTCATTTCATGTAGTTCTGTAATACTGTACAATACAGTCTCATTTATGAACATTAATGCTTTAGCCAACAGGAGCAACAGCATTTAATGATCTAAAAAAAAGTTCAGTGTTTGTTAGTTGATGCATTAATTTTAACAGATACTTGATTTTAAAAGTTATAAATAGAACAGAATATTAAGGTATGTTTTACTGGAAAATCATATTTTAATCTTTGTACTTAAATTATTTTTAATTGAATGTGCTACTTGCCTTTTTTGTGTAAATGTGTAATTTATTAGCAATCTTTTGTTGTTGTTGTTAATGTTAACTACTGTAGTTAACGAATGTTCACCTAACACTAAGATGCTTTGAGCTTGACTTGAAAAATATATTCATAAATGCTGAAATTATTAAATTCTGTAAATATTTTTCTAAGTTGTAAATAAAGAAAAAATAATTGGAATATTTTTTTTTAATTAAAACAAAATATTTCAGTCTTTGTACGTCAAACATTGATGTTTTATTTGCAGTTTCTTTGCAATTATTGTGAAATGTAACAATTTCTGAGTGAAAATGGCTTTTGATTCAATGCATTTGTAATTTTCTTCTGCGGTTGATGTTAAGAGAAGCTTTTTCACTATTGATTTTAAAACTATATTTGTGAATAATGTCGAAATTGGCTTAAATGCTGTAGAAGTATTGATCATTATTAGTTCATGTTTACTAATGTAGTTAAAAAATTAACTTTATTGTACAGTATTAGCAATGTCTTTCATCGGGTGTTCTTTCATAAACATCAAGAAATATTTTTATTCTTCAACCAGAACTCTGAATGTTTTTATTCCAAACCAAAGAAAAACAATGCAATTTACCGTCACCTACAGGTACAAACGAGTACAAATACCAGAAAATAGATTCATTAAATCAAAGTGTGTGTGTAAAAAGTAATAATTTAGAAATGGATGTTATGTACACAAGGCAACGCAAAAACCACTTATTGCACAAGAAAACAATAGTATCATATCTAATAATTATTAACTTAAAATACAATGGAAACTCTATAAGAAAGCATTTCAATTATTTGACTGCCTGCATTAAATATATTTTTTCTTTCAAATACAGCAGAAGTTGTTAGAAAAATTAAATGTTCCAAGCCAGAAATCACTAACATCCCCTCACATGGTCACATTTTATTTGTAACTTTGGACTGCCGAATTATCGTGAATATGTAAAACACATGCTTCAGGAAAAGCGGAGTTTTTCCTGAATGCATCTCGAGTAAGTCTTGGTTAATCATGAAGAATGAAGGTTTGTGTTTGGATCTCTGGCTGATGGATACAGCAGGTGAACGTTTGTGTTTTGCGTTAATCTCCAGAGCAAGAGAGGTGCATTTCTTTAAAGCCAAACATCAGTATAATTTCCCCAGGGTCAATGTCAAAAAAACACACACACACAACACAAAGTCATCTAAAAAAAAACAAACACAAACGCAAAAAGTCATCTTAAAAAAAAGTCATCTAAATAAAACCTCCCCACAAAAAAAAAAAGGTAATCTAAAAAATATATAAATTAAAAAAAAATCTTAAAAAAAAACAAACAAAAAGTCGTCTAAAAAATATATAATACAAAAAAAAAAATCTTAAAAATTAGCATGAAGACTTTTCTTAAGACCATTAAAATTTTAACATTATGACAGTAATGGAAATTAAACATTATATATATATATATGCTGTAATGAATTTAAAAAATAAAATGTAAGGACATATAATTAATGTTACAATGATAATGGTCTTAAAAAATTTTAATCATAAAATTTAATATAACTTATTTAATTCTTTTGATTTTGCTGAGAAATATGAATGAGTTTTGGTGAAATTGACAGGTTAATGTTAGCGACCCGTGTGGGAGAAGCTAGTACAAGCAAACTGACATCACTCTTTTTTTCTGACCTTTGCAGATTTTGGCAAATGCACTTACAGTCACACCTGTGCAAACACACATTTACACACAGCAAACAGACATCTCTATATATCCATGTAGCTGCAGAGCTGTACATTGATAGGCTGAACGTTTTTAAACATAGATCTCTTTTTAAAGTCACTCAGGAAGGCAACGCAAACATTTGTAAGGCAAGATCCATTTGACGCACACATTCTGCCATCCTGAGAAAGAAAAGTGTGAGGGCCGCGTAGCCCTTTAAAACACACAACTATATGTACAGATTCAGTTCCGGATGGACACGTCTGAAACCAGCAGATGTCTCAGAAGGTCTCCGGGGGCCGTGTGTTTTCACGCCTGTCGTCACACACGCACGCGCTCTAATCTCTCTCTGGCCACCAGCCACTGCTCGCTTGACTGAAGTTTTCAATGATTGTTTTGGGTTTTGGGATTTCGGGAATGGAGAAATGTTGTTGCGTTGCGTTTTTCTGTGTAAACAGGGACAACTGATGTCTGAGGGGCGAAATTGGTTGAAAGCAAAAGATTAATTATCCAAAGATCTGTTTCGTCTGACAATTTCTGTAAATGGCTAAGGACGCAGAAAAGAAAACAGTGGCTTAGTTTTCTTTGTAGTATTTAAATGAGCTTCTTCTTGGATGTGTCACAAAATAACAACTACTTCAAAACAATTCTAAAAGTGTAACACCAGGCTGCTGGAATTATTACAAATTCTAAAAGTGTAACACCAGGCTGCTGGAATTGTTACTAAGTGTTAAAAATAAAACAATTTCAGCAGCTGGTGTTACAGTGTTACAAGTTGTAAAAATGGGTTACACTTTATTTTAAGGTGTCCTTGTTCCAGTGTAATTATACATATAAGTACTGAGTAATATTAATTAACTACATGTACTTACTACATGGTTAGTGTTTGGATTAGGGTTACTTGCATGTAATTATGCATAATTAATTGTAGTACATGTAGTACTTGTAACGTGTAACAAGGACACCTTAAAATAAAGTGTTACCTAAAAATGTAACGCCAGGCAGCTGGAATTATTACAAGTTCTAAAAGTGTAACACCAGGCTGCTGGAATTGCTACAAAGTGTTAAAAACGTTACAATTTCAGCAGCTGGTGTTACACTGTTAAAAGTTGTAAAAATATAACACCAGGCAGCTGGAATTATTACAAGTTTAAAAAATGTAACACTGGGTATCTGGAATTGTTATGAGTTTTAAAAATGTAATACCGGGCTGCTGGAATTGTCACAAGTTTCAAAAATGTAACACTGTAACACCAGGCAGCTGTGATTGTTACGAGTTCTAAAAGTGTAACACCAGGCTTCTGGAATGTTTACAAAGTGTTAAAAATGTAACAATTCCAGCAGCAGGTGTTACACTGTTACAAGTTGTGAAAATGTAACACCATGCAGCTGGAATTGTTATGAGTTGGAAAAATGTAACACCAGGACCCTGGAATTGCCACAAGTTTAAAATTGTTTACACTGTAACACCAGGCAGCTGGAATTGTTACAAGTTCTAAACATGTAACACTAGACACCTGTATTTGCTACAGCTTTTAAAAATGTAACACTGGGCTGCTGGACTTGTTACGTTTCATACAATTAGTTGTTTCATTTAAAATCAAATATGTTTAGCTATTACAACGGGGCGTTGTAATAGCTAAACCACTGAGAAAATAACTTTTTTCAGTCCAAATGTTTGGGTAACATTACACACTCCGCCGACCGCGCAACACCATCCATCATTCTTCATTGAGCAAAACCCGTCTCCATAGCAACGGCAAAAAGGTGACGATGAACCTTTCCTCAAAGCCCCGTCGGTAACTACGGAATTTTACCAAGACGGATTCCGTCCGGTGACCTTTGGCCTAGCGGCGTCATTGGTTGTGTTTGTCACAGTCGTCGTCCAGGCAACCGTTCATGCGGTGCGAATCGTCTCCGAAGGCGCCCTGAGACTGCAGCAGCTCGAACTCCTCGTCCAGAAAGTCCAGCGAGTTGTTGCTCGGCAGTCCGCGGATGGTGAACTTGTGCGAGACTTTGGCCCACTGCTCGCGGTTGGCGGCCACGCGCTCGTAAAGCTCGGCCGAACGCGGGAAAATCTCCTGCAGGAGCCTGAAAAAAACCACCAGAGTTACTCTAAACTCTTAAAGCTGGTCTTGTTGAATAACCAGCGTCACATGCATGAAATGAGTGATTCTCTGACTTGTATATTGGCATGGCGATGTGCTCCATGAAGCTGATCTGGAGTTCAGGGATGTAGGCTTTCTCACGGTCCATCATCTCACTGGGTCTGTTTCCCATCGCCTTCTCCTGAAGACACAAGAACAGAGTCAGGTGTATCATGAACTTCTAAGGCCTCTCAATGATCAAACTCAATCTCCTGCATGTCTTCTGTCTCTGATTGAGAGTTTAGAGTTAGATTTTCAGTAGTTTAAGTACTAAAATAAGTCAAACTAAATAAATGAGAACTTATATTAAATATATAGCTATTTTAACTAATAGGAACATGCAACAAAATTATGTTAAAACTTTGACCAAAATTCAAATTAAAACAGAAAATATATATATTAAAAAATCCAATTCTAAATATTAACAAAAACTATAATAGTATATAAATCATACAAAATGTACTCTGCATAGCAGAGCCGAGATAAAAAAAATAAAAACTTTTAATTGTATTATTCAGGATAAACTTCATTATCCTACAAAAAAAACCTGAAACTAACACAAAAACTTAACAAAAAACTTAATTAAAATATATAAAAAACATTAAATTATTTTGTTTCAGCTAGTCACCAACATTTCTCATTTTCATTTAGTCTAACTTGATGTGCTAAAGTAAACACTAAAACTGAAACTAAAGTAAAACTGAAAATGACTTCATTATTTAATTATTTCAGAAATAAATATAACGGGGGAAAAAATGATAAAAACATAACAAAAATTACTAAAAATGGAAAATAAAAAAAATCTACATATACACACACACATTTTTTTTTAAATCTATAGTAGATGAAGTAACACCTCAGTTTTATACCTCAAAATAACAAAACCACAAAATAATTTTAGTGGAATGCTTCTCGGCCACACATCTTTGTGTTTTGTTGGAAGTAGCTAAAGGAAAAAGCCTCCCACTTGAGCAGACCTCACGCCGTGTCTCTGGAGTAATCTGAGTGTTTACTGTGATGCAGGACGAGTTGGGCTCTCGGACGGAGTTCCTGCTGGAGAAGTGCTTTAATAAAGAGACGGAGGAAATGGAGACGACCAAGAACGTCAACAGACTGCTGCTGCAGAACCTTCTGCCGGAGCACGTCACAGACTTCTTCATCGGCAAAGACATCCAGAACCAGGTCACACACTTAGACTCCGCTGCGCCACCTAGAGGCATATTCACATCCTTCATTAACGTCTCTGAATGGATGGATGTTAACCCTGTAGCACTACTGTAGCATATCTGATACATAAAGGCCTCTATATGTGCTGTTAAACCTGTTTCACTCGATCTCCTCACGTCTTCTGTCTCTGATTGAGAGTTTACAGTGTTTTATCCAGTAAAAGTGTAATTGTAGAAACGCTTCTCGTGTCAGATCTGGACTGGTTTTGATCAAGTAAAGGTCAGAATAACGTCAGTAATATCTCCAGATGAACACTTACTGGACTGAAGCAGCTCAGCTTTACTTGATTCTCCATCAATCATGTTTTAGAGTCTCAAATCTGATCCTCAGGATCTTTTGAGGAGCGTTTGTTTCCAGAAGCTTTACTTTCACTGTTCCTCAGCGGAGGAATGATCTTCACAAGCCTCCAGAACATCTCACATCTTCTGAGGAGCCTTTATTTCTTCAGCTCTCAATCACTGCATTATATGTTTGGAGCATTTCATTCTCATCTTACTGAGACTGATTACTGGAGATATAGAGTGACCGCTGATATTTAGATCATTTTATGTGCTGTACTGTTATAAACATCTCACTGATTTACATCACAAGCATCAGAATTTCATCATATAAATATCAACATCTGCAGCAAATTCATATTTTTGTTTAGTCTGAGTCTGGCTGTCAGGCTGTACGGGGTTAAACTTGGAAATAAAGTCTTTTATAAAGAAAGAGTGTGTGTGTGAGTGTGTGTGTGTGTGCATGTGTGTGTGTGTGTGTGTGTGAGAGTGTGTGTGTGTGTGTGTGTGAGAGAGAGTGTGTGTGTGTGTGTGTGTGTGTGTTAAAATAAAAAAACAAATGTACAACAAATAATAAATATTTTCCAGTGTAATCTCAAATATTTATTATTTATTTTACATCTCAGCTTTTTATTTTTTTTTTATTATTTAAAAAAAAAAATTTTTTTAAGTGAATAATGGAACCAGGCAGTGTTTCAACATTAATTTGGTGAATCAAACTCTTTGGATCACAGAAATTTGTTTCAATTTTGCAAATTGAAAATGTTGATATTTCTTACATTTTGATAAGATTTTAACATTTGCTTAAGTGTCTTGTTAACCTTTTTACAACCATTTAGTATTATATATGTTATTTATTTATTTATTGTTTAATATTGAAACAACCATTGTTATTTACACATTGAAAGTTGGTCACATGCTGCTGGGAAGGTAATTAAACGAGTGTCTTTGATCAAACCAGGTTAGCAGCACAGATAGAAATGTCTCTGAAACACAAACAACAGTGAGGTTTAACTCACCAGATCCCCCTGAGAGAAGAACTCTTTATAGATCAGCTCCTGCGAAACAAACACAGACGAGTGAGAGAGAGACCGTGTTTGGCTGAACTCATGAGTCTGTGAGCTTCAGGACTCGTACCGCGATCTTCCTGGTGGTTTTCCAGCCCTTGGTCTGGTCTGAGAGGTCACAGGAGGTCATGAGGAGGCACAGCAGCAGACTGCGATGGGCTTGACTCCTCGGGTTATAACCAGCTACACACACACACACACACACACACACACACACACACACACACACACACACACACACACACA